GAAAGTTTAATCTTACAATAAGACGTCATTTAAAAGAAGAAAGCATATAAAATTCACACTAATTTGCAATACAAATATTTATAGATTAGTTATACTTACATTTAATAAATACCTGGGATTACTAAATTTATTAAAAAATATCTTGAACCAGATGTGAAGGTGATTGTGTAAATCATTTGTGATTGTCAGAATGCTAAATGTGAGGACTTGCCGGCTGTTGAGTGAAAGCCTACGATTATAGCAGACACCAAACCACCAAACAAGAAGCGTATAAACAAAATAGTTCATTAAAGTCATTTTCGAATCCATATATTTTGAAATAAAAGAAAACCGTAAAAATAAATCGCATTTTTTTATTTCTTGGTCACGTGTCACAAAGATAAATGATTTCGAAACTTTGAATGGAAATAATTTTCAAGGTTTAAAAATATAAAATAATTTTACGTAATTACGACGAGAAAAACAGTCTATCTGCGATATTTGATGGCATCATCTGATAAAGTCGCGAAACAATTCCGTTATTAACAGAAGGAATTGATAGATCACGTGATCACTTTGATGGAAAATGTTTTTGCTAAGGTGTGTGTGTGTGTGCATGTGACAGAAAGTGTGTGTGTCTGTGTGTCTGTGTGTGTGAGAGAGAGAGAGAGAGAGAGAGAGAGAGAGAGTGGGGGAGACAACTATTTAAATCTCTTCTTGTCTATTTCTTTTATTTTTAACATTCTCAAAAGAAGATGAAAAAAAGATGACCCAACAAATTTGTGACTTTGGGCTTTAGGAGCAAAAACATTTGTTTCAAATATACAAATAGTTACCACTTTAATGATTTGTTGTTAGGCCTTTTAGACATTGTATATCTTTATTATTCGAATAATTTCTTTACGAATATCTTCGTCTCTTTTACATTGTTTATATCACAATGTTCTTGGCCGACGTCTTATTCTGTGAAAAACTTCATGGCGAAGAGACAAAGGTAAGACACGTAAGAAAATGAGTGAAATAGAAGTATATTCTTTGTAAGAAGAATTAAAACTCTGATTTTCTGTGTATTGCCATGCAAGACGATTTTGAAGCATAATTTTCAAATTTCTGAAAAGAAATCAAAAGTTTTGCGAAATATATATATATATATATATATAAAACATACATATATATATATATATACATATATATATATATATATATATATATATATATATATATATATATATATATATATATAAAAATATATTTTATATATATAAATTTGTGTGGGGGGATACGGTTTTGGTATTATCCTTTGATCTTAATCGTCTAAAGATCAAGTTGGCGTAAAACTTAGAGTAACAGTTATAGATCGATGTCTCCAGGTGTGTTCCTGGTTATTGTTATGGCATATATATGTGGGTGGTGTGAGGTGTTTCATATATTTCCCGTGAAAGTTAGATTTCAGTTTTTAATAGTTGTTTCAACTAAGAAATATTAATAATTCTTATCAATGGAAAAATCCTCAAAATCTCTCTAACTTTCGGTTGTGTTAATCAGATTCAAAGTAACAAAATTACAGCTTAACTAAACAAGTTTGATTATAAGATATTTTTGAAGCGATCTGGATTTCTCCTCTACCCCAACTACTGGGTCATAATTTGTTAAAGACTTTTACAAGCGCTACAACAAATGCATTTTATCTGTGTGTGTATGTCTTTGTGTATGTATGTATCTGTATGTGCGCACACGTGCGTGTGTACACGCGCATAGAGCTTTTTTTTTTAAAAAAAGATTACTAGTGAATATTTTTAAGTTAAAAAATTGAAGATATGTTACGTAAATTTATTATCTCCCAAACTGCTCCTCTGGTTAATTCAATGACGTTACATCTTTTCTCTTGTTCCTGGTTCAAATTCTTGCTTCAACGAGAAAAAAAATCCACAGAGCAATATGTTGTCTACTTGACTGCTTTACATATAGTTTTACAAACCATTTCAGTTCTAATCCTTTATATTCCAGTCACAATACATGGAAAGGAAAAAAATAAAAAATAAACAGGATTAATTTTAGAAGAGAAGATAACTGTGTGTGTGGAAGCCTACAATACACTGTGACTGACCCAATCCGATCTCGTGATAACCTACTACACCATACACAGTTACTCGAATTAGTTATTTTTCTGCACCCTAAGAAACTGATTGAATCACTTAAATTCAAAAGTCTGCCTTGGCGGCCATCAAATCTGACCAAATTCCAGATAACACTTGCACAAAACAATGAAAATAAAATATCAGATGACTACTATATAACAATTTATAAACCATTCGTTCGTTTTTACATCCCCTAAAGACCAATAAAATTTTACCAATTACTCTCTTACTCGCCATTTAAGGTTCCTCACCCTGTATCATATCTCGTGAAAGTTTAGGAAGGCCTCGGAGTAGACTTACTTAAAAGCCCCTTTTTGGTGCACTAGTGCCCCGATGACTCCAGAATTAAATATATCTGAATAAGATTTATTAATTTATGATTACAAAGCAAATGTTAAAATATTAAAAAAAGAAAGAAAAACAAAACAGTTACACCAAAATATTATAATTACTGCTTTAATTTTCCCTAACCAAGTTAGCGACGCATTTTATATACCAATATGCATAACAGATTTTTATTTACAAAGTGGTCATATTTTAAAAGCTGTTTTCTAAGTTTTTAAGATAATTATTATTCGACAGTTTTCTGAATAATGACTATATGAAAATAATTACTATAATAGTTAATAAAACCTGGTAGAATATATTGGTAAAATGAAAAAATTACACAGTTCTTGACAGATAAATATTCATTTTCTATTTTCCCTCACTATTATTAAGTTTCTTTATAACTACTATATTTAGTTCACAGATAAATTCATTATCGAATCGAATATTATAATCTGACAGAAATTCGTTGAATTATTTATTTGGCCATCATTATTCACTGTTATTTCATCGCAATTCTTATCAAACTAATGAGCCTAAATAATGCTATGAAAAGCAGTGTCATTTCTATCAAGATTACAACATGGATTTTCTTTAATTGTTCCGTTTCATGCTACCCATTATTGATTGCCGTTTTAAACTGGTGTAAAAACCGAGCAAAAACAATAACTACAAATTTTTCTTAAATGAAATATAGACTTTATTAGTAGCTAAAATCGAACCTGAGCACTTTCAGTTGAATGTTATATATATATATATATATTATATATATATATATATATATATATATATATACACATTGAAGTCAAAACCAGAGGCGATAGTCATGATTAAATGCGATCGTCAGGCCATATTTAAGCATGAAACAGACTATCGCCCTTGGGTGTTGACTTCAATGTTCATTTTTATAATTGCATATAGCATACCCTAAAACTATATTTTATCACGCACGCGCGCGCACACACACACACACACTTCCTTACTTAAATAGCAAATTGTTCTACTCTGGCAACATTTTTAACGTTATTAACTTCGATCGATTTCTTTGTCCCCAGCATTCCCTACTTACAACAGGTAACGTACAGTCAAAGTGGTATAGTTATTCCACGCATATTTCGGACTGGTATCCTAATATTTTTTATCACTTTTTACAACTTTCTTCAAGTAACTATGCTATTCAGTGATTTTAGTTGTTTTTTGTTACTTTTTCTCTTTATTCCTCAACAATACATCACAGTTTAACAGTTTTATGCTTGAAAACTTTCAAATAGAAAAAAGAAAATAGTAATATTGACCTTGGATATTGGCCGATAAGACCGAAAACAATTTTCTACGGCCACTCTATCCCATGTGTTAAAATCTACACTTGGTATTCTCATGCAATCTTTTGTTTTTACAATTTAATTAACATTATTAATATATTTCAGCTTTTGTTACGTTATTAAGCAATTTCCAAAAAACACGAGATGCAATATATGTTTGAACATGACTGAAGACGATAGGTACCCAAATGTTCTGCTAAAAGCAACAAATATAACTCTTGTCTGAAAAATGTATAGAATAATGAAAATGCTTCATGATAGATTTTCGAAGAAAATTGTCGATAACATTCTGAATAGTCGATGAGGAATCAGTGCGGAATGAACTCATTGGCAACAGGTTGAGAGATCAGAACGACTACCACAACTCTACATGACAGACACTTTCATCGTTTGAATCAACAAAATCAGAATGCTGTAATACATAATTTTGTAGACAGTTTCAGAGTTAGGAAAATGGAGAAATGGATGAAATTTTGATATGTGCATTTTGGGACTCAAATACAGTTCTGAATGTTGATCTAATGTCGACACGATAAGTTTCTTTATGCAGAAAAGATTTTTGTAAAATTATCTCTTGAAGAAAGTGAGTCCCAAAACGATTTTTCTAGGACTGAGAGAAGAGTGATACTTAGAGAACAGTGTCTAGGGACAAATTTAATTAAAATCAATAAATATTTCAGGTTGTAAAGCTGAAAAAGAGATGCCAGATATTAAAAACTTTCCATTTTTTCTGGTTGGTTACATCATAATAACTGCAACACAAGTCAATAGTAATAGCAATTGAACAACTTGTAGCCTCCAGCAAATTACGCTCGTTAAAAAATTAAAAGTCGCATTAAAAAAAATAAAAATAACAATAAAAAAGAGATGGACAAAAAAATGAAAACTAAATTTTGAACGCGTTTTGATATTTCAGATAGACCAAGTTAATAAAATAATTTTGTTGATTTTAATAGATTTCTTTGCAGTGTCTATCGATTATTTAAGCGTAATATCTAGTCTGTTCGTCTTACGATTGTTTAACTTCACACCTTAATTCCCTGTATTAAATGTGCTAATAATTAGAAAGCATAATAATTACAATAATAAGCAAAAACAATATAAAAACGAATTAAACTTCTCTTTCTATATATATTTTTTCGTTTACATTAATTTCTGGCGGTTTGTGTTGGTGTTATTAACCTAGAGTTCTCATATTTTTTTTGAGTCTCGCTATTATTTTTCACTTTTTCAGTTCGTTTCTTCGTTCACTTTCCTTTCTTCTTAGTCTTAATATCTCTTTTCTTTCATTCACTCTTTTTCTGTCTTTCCTTTATTACTTCTCGCTTCTTTTCTTCCCTTTCCCTCTCTTCGTTCTTTTTTCACCTTCCCTTTCTTTTCTCATCTCTCTTTTATATTTCCCTCTCTTTTCTTTCACACATTTGTTTTTATTTGCCACAATATCACCCAAATATTTTCCGCCATTTTTAACCTTTGGCCACAGTTCATGTTTTCAGATGTAACCCACTATTTATCAGCAACAGCATTGGAGTCAGTGTCATAAGCAGAAGACTTGTTTTTTTTTTTTTTGTTGATTTTTTTCTTTAATTTCTTGTGTTTTTTTTTCATTCTTTTGTCATTGAAAATCTATCACGTTTCCCCATATTTGTGTGTTTGCAGTTTTCTAACATTTTTCTTGTCACCATCACTATTATTAGCATTAGTAGTAGTATTTAAAATGCTTTACAAAGCGAAAATCGATCACAACTTTAACAACAACAACACTGTCATTATCAGTTTTTTTAAATTATTTTGTGTAGGTATTACCTTCATTTGACTGCTTGTCTGTTGGCATTTTCTGAAAGGGGACATTTTCTGGTTTATTTATGACATTTTTTCTAGTTTGTTTATTTGGCGGGGTTATTCAATAATTTCTTTCTGAAAACAATTTACCTATAATCAATTGGTTGGGGGTTTTTGTTTCCTATTTTTCCTCTTCTTTTTCCTGCCATCTTTGTTCTTTTTAGATCCCTTCTTTTTCTTCTTCTTGCCCTTCTTTTTGCGCGACTTATTTTTTGTTTTTTCTTCTGTTTCTTCTTCCGGTTTCTCTTCCTGTTCAGGCGGTTTCTCTATGTATACATCTGGTATTACCACAGTTTTGCACATACTGTCCTTCTTCCACATCTTCGTGGCCTTTCGGAAACCCTCTGATTTACGTTGATAAGGACTAACAAAAAACAATACGAAGCGATCTCTCTGGCGCTTGCCCATCACCAATAGACGTGTTTTCGGCGCAATCATCGTTTCATTGTTCTTTACGCAATCGCATTTGTTATCGTTCTCAATGTAGCCAACTAACTTTCGAATCTCCTTCTTGGTCAAAGGTCCTCTCTTGTAGGCGCGTTTCTTCTTTAGAAAGTTGAGTCTCAAGTAGCCGTTTTCTTCTTTATTCGAATCAACAGTGACGCGGAACACTGAAAGTACACAAAAACAGAATTAAGCCAGAAGGACAAAATATTTACTCCATTTAACAAGCATTACTTAGTCAAAGAATTTTACGTATAGTCTATGCGCTTATTCATAAAGCATAGCTGTGAGCTACAAAGGATAGGAGTTTGTGAAAAACTATGATCACCACGTCCTGAAGGGACACGACACATAAAAATGCAGATCATATCTATAGATGATCTCGTGAAAGTAAAAAGTAATAAAATCCAAGTTTAATTTTTTTGCTAAATCACCATTTTGGTTTCACTAGTTTCTGGTCAGCACTATCGCTCAATCTTGAATTACTGAAGTGGATGATAAGGTTAAAGGGGCGATGAGGAAAAAGAGGGTGGTAGGGGAGGTTAGAACAAAAGGAACAGCAAGAGGTATTAGAATTATTAATTCTTTTTTTTACATAATCTATATGACAAGATCTCATTCACTTACACTTAAGGAACACGTATATTTTACAAAACTGAGTTATATACGAACGCATGTTTTGTTGCCTGAAGTTAAAAGTCTATTGTGATACATAAAATTCAAAATCCATGAATGTCACTGCAAAAAAAACAAAAAAACAAAAAAAAAAACAAACAAAAAACCAAAAAACCAAAAAGAAAAACATGTTTAAAAAAAACGATACCAAATTTTAAAATGCATTAAAACATTATGTTTGAGGTTTTAATTCCAAGATAATAGATTAAATTTGTCCGTCTCAAAGAGAAAAATACTTTGGCGCATTTCAAATTGAAACTTTATCGGTAAAATCTACTGCTTACTCAATACTGACAGACCTGACAACCATCTTTCTTCTTTAAAAAATTAAATGTTTTTCGAAGAGAATCACATAATTTAAAGTTCAATTAATTGGATTTGAAAAATATATTGCTTACATTTTGCTTAAAATATAATAAAAAAATATATTTTTTTAATGTGGATGTATTGACTTGCCTTAATGGTAGTGGTGTGAACAATGATATCCGTTAAAAGTTAATGGTTACTGTTTTTTAGCCCACAACTCGCGTCTAACCCGAATATTGCTGATGATGACAGCCGAGGATGTATGGGGCGGACAAATATGACAAAAATATTTAATAGTAATGTTTTATTGGATTTCACTCAACATGATAATAAAACAAAACTTTAAAAAAATATTGAATTGAAATAAGAAAAAGAAAAATCTTTCAAAATTAATTTTTCAACAGAAAACTTCATTTTATTCAGAAAAGCGATTAAAATCTTTCCAAATTAAAAGGAATTTTTTGTTTTTTGGCATTTTTCCTTTTACGATTTAGGACAGATTCTCTGCAATGATATTGTCGTTTTTCAAAAAAGGTTTTAAATTCTCTGACGACTTACCTTCATTAAACATTTTCCCTATCTGAAAAAGTTTTTGCGGAAATTTCATAAAATTATATTGGCGATACCTAAAAAGATAGTACTACAAGGACTTTTTTTTTTCTAAAATAATAAATAAATAAATGATTCCATTCATGACAGAAGAATTTAAAAGTCCGACAATAATTTGATTTTTTTATGTTCCACGTTTTTTTCTTTTGCTGCAAAATTTCTCTCAAATTTCGGGTACAGATTGAATATTCCCTGTTTATGCAATGTAAACATGATTGTTGAAGTGAAATATCTCCAGTTGTATAAACACCAGAAAAAATAATTTTTATGTAAAATATCTGGCATCAGTAAGAGGGGTTCTTTACAATTTTACACAAGTTAATTGAACTATTGTTAAAGCTATTCTTCTCAGTTATGTCTCTGTTCAAAGAAAAGTGGATGAAATGGCTGTAAATACTGATGACACATTGTACAACATGCTTAGGATAACAAAATTTAGCTTACAATTAGATGAATCAACTCTGCCAGTCAATGAACCTTTGCTTCTTGCTTATGTTCATTTCGTTGAAGATGAAAATTTGGTTCAAGAGCAAGACAACTAGAAACAGACACAAAAGGTGAGTCAGTATTTAGTGTTGTTGAGAATTTTTCAAAAAGAAAGACATCCTGCTTACCAACTTGTGTAACAGATGATAGGTTGTTGCTATGGCTTATTGGTTTCCTTGAAAAAACCGTACGTGGTGTATTTAAGATGCAACATCTGGTCGCAAAAAAGCTTAAGTGGTCAACTTCATCAATCACTGAACACTGTTATCACATTAGTAAATAAAATCAAGACACTTCAATTCATGATTTTTCGACAGCTCTGTACTGATGAAGATTTTGAACATTTGTTGTTGTACGCAAAAATTAGATGATTATCAAAAGGTTTCTTTTTTTTTTGGGACACAGTTGTTAATTTTTCCAGGACTTCGATTCTGTTGTCTGTGATGAACTAAGAAGCAACAAGTATGACATTGTTTGCCTGTCACATTTATTCCCAAAATTCAATGAAGTTAATAAAAATGAAATTAATTTGCAACAGCAAATAATTGAAGTTAACCTTAACAAAATAAAATCAGTCCTCTCCCCGTTTCTTTTCAAGTTACATTTATTCAAACATTACATTACTTGTCGTGAACTCTTTCAGTTTCCAAGCCTCACTGAATTGGGTGAGGATAAGGAGGAGGAGAATATACCATTGCTTTCAAGTATATTAAGTGCGCCTAGGATGGGCCGCAGAGAGAAACATGTCTGATAGATTTTCAGATGTTTTTTTTCATTAAAATGCTAGATTGCTTGATCAATCCATTCACAGGTATCACCTATAAGGAAACAGAAGTGGTGGAGAAAGGCCTGATTTCACTTCAGAATGATATGTAACTGAGGCCAAAGTTCAAGATTTATATAATAAAAATTTCTGACTGAAGAAGAAAGTGAAAATATAGTTCATTGTCTTTGCGACATCACATTTAGTAGAGCCAGGGTTTCATCAAAACATTACTGAACGTGAGGATTACAGGTACCTGACATTGGGAAACTGACATCTCTGCATCAAATACAGCCATCTTCATTAAAACTCTAAATGGGTTTACTTGTATAGCTTTTTTTTTCTTTTTTTCTTTTTTTTTAATAATGTCTCTGAGTGTTTACATAGTTGTGTTGTTTTGAATTTGTAGTATAAGATATAATTTTCATATTGGTGCAGGAGAGGGCGCTATGGATGTGGATCCAAGGAAACAACAGCTAACAATTGTTTGAGAATCACTGTTTTAAGTGGTGGTTTCAATACCAAAAGTTTCAGTAAGACATCACACAGAAACAACCCAATCAATCTTCTACAGTAACTCTACTTTTTCATGTATGGATAATGATAAACGCTTCCTCTTCTGTTTCTTACTGCTACCCATGGTTTGGGGGTTTGAAACGCTTTTTGACATTTTCACCGTTCCTAATGTCCTAAAATCAGAAAAAAACATCAATAGTCGACTGCTAGGAAAGCCGAGAGACACTTGACTCAACAAACCATTTGTTGTGTTGGGTCATATTTTGGCACCAAACTCGAACTTCGAACAGTGGGTGCAGGCAACTTGCATGGTAAAAAACTCTTTTGCTCTTTTGCTTTTTAGAATTTCGGATAAGAGACTGCACACGCACACAAAGAAAGAAAGAAACAAATTTACCAAGCGTTTTCCAATAAGAGTACAGTCCTTTAGTTTTATTATGCAGGGCTAATAGAATGTTTCTAATTCTAAACCTGTGCCTATGTATATGTATTCATATATTCATTCGTATACTTTAAATATCGTTTTATTAGTTAAAAGTAACGCCATATTAACTTACGCACCGCTACGGAAAATATGCAACTTACAACAATAAAAATGCCTAGAAATACTGCGCAAAGAATTTCATAAGATGCATATAATTGTTGACTATAATTAGTTAAATCCAGCTCTAAAACTCCAGTACTCAAGTAAAGATTGAACTCACTATATGACGGAAATGTCTGCAAAGCTTGTTGACCACCGCTTTACAACAGACACTAAAGTACATATTTCTATAGATACCAATATTTAGAAATGCTTTCAATTGCTTAATTGTAGTTTAAACTGACGAATTTTCTAACGCACATCTTTAATATAGTAAATTTGATTATTCTTCGACGTTCGTTGCCAGTTTGAATTCATTTATTGCTTAGTTGGTTCCTCAATTCTGTATATCAATCATCTACTACCAGGTTAAAAACATCATAATACAACTAACTACTTCTAAAAGTAAAATTTAACAGGAACACGTATTACTAACAGAAAAAAACAAACTTCTAGACGGCTCTAGTTTTTGCTCATTCATTTGAAATTGCTCTTGTAATTTGAGGTGATTATTATTATTGGAAAACGTTTAATCTTCGATCTACGGATAGTTAATTCAGTGTGCGTTGAAGTTCTACTTTCCTTTACTACGTGATGGAACCAATAATTGTGTCCACTTGTTTTTGTAAAATTTGAATTACATTTTTGGAAAAGATAAAAACTATAAAACCGATACTTTTTGCTTTGAATTTTTTCACCTATATTTTAATTATTAATATTTTATTTATTGATATTACTGTGACTGAGCATCCAACCTAAACTTGAACATTTTGGTTTGTTTTTTTCTATAATCTTGCATCTATTTTAAATATAAAAAGAACTAAGATGATCTAATTTGCATAACTTTTATATGGTTGCTGGTAATGTTAATCATGAGATTTACAGAATGTGTATAGTTAATCGACAGATCTTAAAGAACAAAAAATGCTGAAAGAAACAAATACGTGCGTTTGTGTGATTTTTCTT